CTTCCTGTCCCACGCGCTCCTGCCTGCCGGCCTGTCTCCTCTCAGTCCATCCTGCCTCACTGGTCCTCAGTCCCCAGGCCTGAGTACTCGGCACAGCTGTTCCCAACCACTGCCACATAGCACCAGCCGAGCGCGACACATGTTCCTCCCATCAAAGGCGGCCGCACCGGGGCCTGCCGCCACATGGCACTGCTCCTTGCTTCATAGACAAGAAGACCAGTGATGCTCAGGGAGGCCAAGAACTTGCCCAGGACCGTGCAGGGAGCAGAGTGGGCCTCTGGGAGCCGAGTCTCCTGGCCCGAGCCAATACTGTCTCAGCGTCTGAGAGCAACTCCCACCGCTGGCCACACCCTTCCAGGGTTCTGCCCGCGCTGGCATTGTGCCGCTTCTCTGGGGGCCCTGTGGAGATGTTGTGCGGTGTGAGGTCCTTCCAGAAGGGCAGGTGCCACTTCTGCCCCACACTGCTCGGCCCTGCATGTCTTAGAGCGCATCTCTCCCCTTCTCAGGGCCTGGCCACTGCCTGGGGAGAGCTGTGGGTGCTGGGTGGCAGTCCATAGATGCTCTGCTCGGGTTGGACAGCAGGTTTCTTTCTTGCTTGCTTGCTTTTTTTTTTTCCTTCATATAAGGATGTTCATAGCAGCTTTGTTTATCATTGCCAAAAACTGATCATAACCTAAATATTAATCAGCAAAAGGATGGGTAACAAAGAACAGTGATAAACCCTTATAACTGAAGACCATTCAGCAGTTTTAAAAAAAAAAGAAGGGGGCAAATTGCTGGCACGTGTGATACACAGGTTAGTTTCAAAACACGGAGTGAAAGCCTTCCTGCTAGTGTCACGAACCGGTAAATCCAACCATGCTGACAGAGACCAAATCCGTGGTTGTCACAGGGTAGGAGATGACTGGAAAAGGACACAGAAATACCCTAGGGTCATAGAAGGCTTCCGTATATCAAGTGAATGACAATCATGCTGGTTGTACGTGTGCAGAAACCACTGAACTGGACTTACGGATCTGTGGGTTGACACCATGTAACTTGGACAGCATCCACTTAGCCTGGCCTTACCGTCCCATTCTCACCTCTGTTGGCTCCACCCAGCCCAACTTCACGCTCATGGCAGCCCTTACCGTCTCCTGCAGTTATGTTGACGATGTGGACCGTTTCCCCTTACATAGGCCTTTCGCTCATATAAAATACGCAACAGACACTCGTTAACTTCCCTGCCCACGGGCACACTGTGTCAGGATCATGCACAGGGTGTTCGCTCTGGGTAAGACCTGGTCCACGAAGGTCCCGAGTGACATTAACGTCTCGGGTAAAGGGAACAAAAGTGACTTTGATAATTACCCTGATCTGGCTTAGAAGGGGAATTTGTGAGCAATTACCAAAATCCATAAAAAGAGAAGTTGACTTAGTGGCTAGACAGAGGAGACGTACATGCTAAAGGGTCCGGTGACACGTTAGCAGGCGTGCCTCTCCTGGTGCGTACGCGGTGTTCACAGTCCAGCTGGGAGAAAAAAACAGCAATCCTGCTGGAAAATGGTGCAGATAATTGCCCCGTCCTAATAAGGTCAGTGGAGCATGGTTACATTTGAATTTAGTCAGTCAGTTGTCTGTGTTGTCTTATCTGAAAACGGTTTGTTTTGAAGTAGGACCACCAGTCTTACTGTTGACTTGTAGGGAA